TGCTCGAATATGCTCCTCCATGACATCAGTGTTTGAGTTTCTGATTAGAGTATTCTTCAAGTGTATTAGTTTGTAATTCTGCATCCTTCTTTGGTGTAATTGTTAGTGTGTTGCAAATGTAACTCGATTATTATAGAGTTAAAGAACCGCATGCGAGTAAATGCCAAGCCGCACATAGTAGATAATGAATTGTGTTGTTGACGAAGCTGATTAATAATACATAAATTATATTTCATAGCGACACAAATTGAATTCACTCTTATTTCATTAAGTATGTGTCATGTGCCAAAACTGTCTCACACAAAGATCTTAATGAGGTCAACATTTTACATCAAGCACAAATTCCTACGTACCGTACAATTACCAATTTATTTACAGAACTGATAGGTCTGTTTGATCAACGTGTCAAGCAGAGCATATACTGGGTCGATAATGATCAAAACGGGATTCGTCCGTTAAATAATGATAAAAAATAATGATAACGACCTAGCTAATGTAAAGTGGGGAGGAAATTTCACAAAATGTACTCAAAATTACTCAGTAGTCAAATATTACATAATATTTTCAATGAGTTAGGTATATCCATAATTAAAATGTACAATATTTAAACAAATTCTATGGAAAGGTCCGTACAGGTAAATACAAGTCTGATGCTTTTCCTGTTCAGAATGGTCTGCAACAAGATGCTTCATAACTTTGTTTTTAAACTTGGCTTTAGAATACGTCATTAAGAAGGTTCAAGAAAGCAAAGAAAGATTGGAAGTAAATAAGACACATCAATTTCTTTTATACGCTGATGACATAAATTTGCTGTGTGAAAACACATGTTGGTGATCAGCATAGCAATTTCAGCTTTACTGCCTGCTACTTGAAACAGACCTCCAGTGGACATCGAGAAACAAGTTTTTAGGTTCTGAAGCCAGGAGATTCTTGGCCTGCCATGTCCCCTCTTTCCGAAAATTTTCCCCTAGATTATCAGCTGAAGCAGCCCGTATCTATCACTATTTCTCATTATATGACCGAAATATTTCAAACTTTCTCTTTTTTATGTCTAACTTAGGCTAATCCATTAAATTCCAGCCCTTCCCGATTCTCTACGTATTTTCTGATTTTGATTCTAGCCCAAAGTCGAAAAGCAGCTGAAAATACGATATCTCCTTGTTTTGGCTCAGTGAAAACTTCGAATATATCCTCAGACGGTTGCCTACAAATCCTTACTAAACAAATTATTCATAAGTCGACACATTTTAATTAAATTATTAAGTTGATACAGTAATCATAATTTAAATGAAATCTTGCCATATATACAGGAATTAATGTTCATGCTGCAAATAAGCGATCTGTACCTTACCTATTTGTAAAATGAACTGGACAGGCTGGCTGACAGTTGTTAGACAATCCAGTCCGCGAACCACTGATTCAGGTCATAATAACATATAAACATACAAAATGTCTTTAAGAGGGAGGAATAATGAAAATTTTACGAACGTTAGCAAATAACACCGTCAAATGAAATAAATGGAAAACTAGCTGACACTTCCTATTCGGCTCATGTCAGTAATGGTTAAATACTAAAGAGGGATTAAAAAATTAAAGACGAAGAAAAATCCTCCCCATACGACAGCCGTCGAGAGCACTAAATGTTTTCTCTTGGTTGACTACCTACCAATGGGGAAAGTCGGGAGTAAAAACCTTCAGTTGAAAGTTGACAGGGAACTCACCTCTACCTATATAAAGAAGAGGCAGGCCGGTTCATCGGAACAGTATTCTTTAGGATCGACGTAAGGGAACAAGTACTGAACAGAGTAAGTTTGCATTCCAAGATGTGGTAGTATAATACGACTACTTGCTGATTATTTATTAGTAAATCCGTACTTGTATAAACTTCAAAATTCATTTAAACAGAAACTAAGAAATTTTAAGAAATTTATATTGACGCAATTGTTATAAGTTGTTCGCAGGATGAGTAAGGAAATATTAAAAAATAATAACGTAAATCTCGTGTATTTTTGTCAGTATATTTAATTTCCGAGCTATTCTAAAGATCTGCTTCAATTTAATGACAACGTCTTCGTCGAACACCTTTAAACCAAAATTAACTAAAACGCAGTTCAGTAAAATTCAGTATTAGGAATATTGTGTAAACGTACACCGAGGAATTTAATTTTTGTCCGTATTTGCCCAACACAAAGCGTATTTTACAAGTATCTCACTTATACTTCTCAGTTTTCACACAAATGGTTCGTGAAAAAATAGTTTTCATTACATAAAATATGGATTAATGAAAACCTAAAACTTCAACAGTAACATATTTCGACAAGACATGCATTTGATTACATAGGAAAATCATTCATGCCTCTATGCAGTTCATTACTTTTCTCAACAATTCGATTCATATAAAAAAGTATATTTACAAAAATGATTTCCATTCGCCTTGTTTTAATAGGGTCATGAGTGAAAATGTTTCCATGTTTGTTTTACATAAATATTTCTAGACGCTGTTATTTTTCCATTCGTACTCGTTCTCATGTTATTAGTATACGTATTTTATATCCTAAAATATATGCTATAGGCCCACATTTATACGCACCTCAGTGCATATAATAGACAATCTTCGTGGGGGGGATGTTAATTCTTGTTACGTAAAAAACACTCATGCTATTCCAGTTTCCCCATACTGTATTTGAATCGGCTTGGACTTCGAGGAAAACTTTCATATGTTTTGCTTGCAGTTTGTCAAATGTTCCCATGTGTACAAATCTTTTGTGTAATAACCCGTTCTGGAAAATTATGTGAGCTTTATGTTCATATTTGTCTGCTGATTAAATCAAGGACGGTAACATGGAGGGAACATGTAGCACGCAAGACTTATACGAAATATTCGTTTAAAATCTTCGCCGGAATATCTCGTGGGAACAGACTATTTGCAAAACTGAAGCGTGGAAAGAATATTAGAAACGATTTTACATAAATGGGGTCCAAAAGTGTGGATTGGATTAAACTGGCCCGGTATATGATTCTATGACAAGGTTTTGTGAAAACTGTAATTAATCATAAGAGAAAAGACTTTCTCGACCATTTTAGTAACTCAAATCTGCAAGTATTATTGCGAACCATTTAAGTAATTGATGATCTGTTTACGGATACTATTTTATTTTGTTTCGCTAACCGTACAATCTGTGCCATGAGTTGGATAACGGCCTAGTGACCGTAAAGTATCCTAGGTTATGCACAGCGATCAACATAAGGGAATCACGTGTCCAAGAAGTGACAGGCATCATCTGCGGTGAAGTGACTTGCTGGTTTACATTTTCATCCACATGGCAGTGAATCGCGCATTGTTAAGTTGCTGAATTCAGACTTTTAATATTTCCTGTCGATCTTCGGCTCGGACTCCAGAGACTGACCGCTGTTTACAGTTTCCGTTAAAATGTATAAGCACTTTTGTTTCTACAGACCGAACTATGTGGAGTCAGTTGCAATTTTCAAACCGAAATAAGCGTGGCAAATAAACTGCGATTGTTACTATTTTTTAATACTCTAAATCCTCCGTTTAATCTCTCTCGGAGCTGAACTTAGTTTTAAATACTGAAATTAAAAACGAACACACTGTAAATAACATGTATTATCTGTGTTTTGTGCTGCAGCATTGCTGAAAACGTCTAGCCAGAGTTGTAATCTTTTGTTCGGTGTAGAAGTGGCTACATTTAAATTGCACCGATCTGGGTTCATTCCCCGTAATACCATCAAGTAATAACTAGAATTTTTTTAACGCAGTGGTTTTGGTACTGAATTAGACCTCGCTTGTCTCGATATGCAGCGCAATTTCCATGATGTAAATGAGAGACTTACTACAGGTTACAGAAACTGATGTGTTTCATTATATTTTGGGTTTTGTTTTTAAGTATATGTAATTTTCTCTAGCCTCAAAATAACAACCTACATTTCATAACTATAAAATAAGAACAGTTTGTAAATTACTTTTTGCATTTTTAGATTGCATTCCTGTCTATTATTAGGCGTAATACGGCCACTACTGTTTCAGATGTGGAGACTGTGTTTACGTGCGATGCTAATTAGCATGATCTGTGTGTGCGCACTAACTGATAATCCATCGACCACTCCAAAATTTGTAGAGAAAAGAGAGGCACATAGGTACTGTGGTAGAAACCTCGCCAACATTCTGAAATTCCTGTGCCAAGGCCATTACAACGGCATAGATTACGACAGGAAAAGAAGAGATGTGGACTTCTACGGTGAACCGAAGTTGTATGGAGGTACAGTATGACTGGTTGTTTGGATACTTGACTGCATTCTATTAACTATCGGTTACTTGGCGCCGCTTCCTAAACACTACGAAATGAGGAGAAGATTGTGGGAGCAGGATTAACCTATTTCAGATTATTATCACAGCATTCGCCTGGAGGAACCAAAGAAATCCATAAAACGCCTCTACCGTCTTCGTAGGTTTCTTCAGAAGCACTTCGCGATACAGTAATTTGTAAAAAAACTGGTGACTCAAACTGTCTAAATTCGAGTCCTGTATTTCCTCACGTTACGGAGGTATTTTAATGAATTTATCTTACTTTAAACTGTTAAGTTAATTTTCTAAAACTTCTATTAAAAAAATTAAAATCTGCCTCATTTAAATTAAGCCATTGTTTAAATAAAACGGGGAAGTTCTCATGTATGTTAACTAGTTTTTGTACGTCCAGAGATGGTGTTTTTGCTTTCAGAAAGAATGTTAAAGCGACAGCCTCTGTCACTCGATACAAATGCCATGAAATGCTTTCATTTGGCGATGCCAAACGAACCCTGCCCCATTAACGTCTGTCAGTCTGTTAACTCAGTCGTGCAGCTGATTACGACACACCAGTAACTGATCTCCGTGCGATCATAAATGAACAGCATGCCAACAGACTGTACTGTCTACCCCTTTCAAGCTCAGTTTCCTTAAAATTAAGCCGTTTGAGAAATTCCACAAGCTGTTATTTTACCAAAGTATATCTCAACTTGATAACTGATAAATCACTTGTGTGTGTAAACTACAGGCTACATGTCTTGGCGTTAAATGCATCAAGTCCTACTGGTTGTTTGCTTCAGTCTATTTAACGACTCTTTTCCAACTGAATATTTTAGCGTCAAATGCTCGAATGGCTCTGAATAATGAGTTGAGAAGGTCCTGGAACGTGACTCATGGTCTACTGTAAGCTATTTTATTACCTAAGAATATACCTGATAACAAACGACTCAATGAAACACAATAACTACAGGATATCTTAACCTATTAGTCAAAATTCGAATTCAAGACATCCCATTTACGAAGGAAGACTGCCAAGTATCCGACCACGATTCTCAATGTTGGTAACACTTATAGTACATGCTCTTATTCGATGCAACTGGCGATTTTAACAACATAAAAGGGGGGGGGGTTATTATTTCCAGAGCTGGCAAATAAGTGCATGAATTTTATTTTTAGATCATGACTACGATTTTTGGAGCCAGGCGGAAGATGTGGATGACTTTGCAGACCTACATTACCCGTTCCGACCCCGTTCAGTATCCAGCGTCTTACTGAACAAGTTATTCCGGAGGAGACCAAAGAGGAACAATGGTGGCATTGTCGAAGAATGTTGCATATATAAAGGTTGTACATTGAGTGAATTAACAGAGTATTGTTCACCCGTGCAGTAGCCTTAACTGGCGATGGTGTATTAATGGAATTAGGGATGTCCAAGCCTATATGTATATTTATGATCCACTTATAATTAAGAAATGCCTAACTGTATGTTATTTTTCGACATTTTCCACTATTTAGGTAAATCATGTGTCGTCTCGATGTTCTGCTAAAAGCAAAGTGATCTGTGTTATTCCGTCAGGTAAAAAAACTGCGTAGGCCTGAAAACGCAATATGATGTTGGACTTTGTAAAGATTTTTTTTAATATTGCGTTATGTTCAAATTATATTACAGTAGGTATGTTGGAATATCTGCAATTGTAACACGCTGTACTCTAAAAACAAACGACACACAAACAGCCGAACGTCATATACTTGTAACACATACCACACACTGTATAACGAACACTGAACGATAAGTATTCGAATACCGTACCATATTTATTTCATTTATTTAAAAATCTAATGTTCACTCTATAAAGTTCAAGTTTTATCTATAGAAACATGGAAATTCTTGTTTGATCACGTAGAGAGAAATTTTCTATATGAAATTCGGTTCATTCACTGAAAGGGATAGGCCTGGTACCCGTATGACAACAAGAACGTGTAACACTAATATTTGTAAAACAGTTCGTTGATAAAAAAGCGTGAGAAATTTAGTCCCTTGAAAATTTAAAGGTGACTTATTTACGATGAACGGATAAAACGGAAATTCAAAATATTTAAAAATTTTAAAGTCTGTTAAATATGTATAAAGTTTATTATGATATTCTTGGACACCCTTTTTAAGATTACTGTATTATAATGTTAATTATGTCTTGTGTTCAAACTGTTGTGCCAATTACATATTTACAATAAAACTGCACCAGCATCAAAACGCTGTATTTTATTTAAATGACCTTTTTGAAAAGGTTGAGGAACTGACTTAACGCAAAGTAAGCACAGTTCATAGCCAACATACGGAGCTTGTGCATATACATTAATTCATCTTTATGACCGAATCCTATTTCCCCCTGAAACAGCACTTCTATTATTAATGTGTCCGTAACATGGAACATAAGATTCCTAAATACGCAACGCCTTACACTAAGTTACATTTCGTCAATCTGCTTGGTATTGAACGAATAATTCAACGCAGCAGAGTCCTTGGGAAGCTAAAAGTCGCTTATTTCGGCTAAAATTTATCTTGAGTTTACTCAGTTTTACAGCAGGTTAACTGTTTCATTCCAAATTATTACAAATTCAGTATTCACGATGTTTCCATTTAATTCAACGCCATGTAACCCGAGAAATTCATATGATGTACTTAACCTAAAAATCAGTAACAGAGGTATGTAATTGTCCGAAGGCAGCTACAAACGAAAATGTTTGGTTGCTGCTGTCTTACTAAAACTAGCTAATACACCTAAAAATGTCTTAAAGTTGAAATACTTTTGAACGGTAATAGGAAATTAAATTACGAAGGTTAGAACAACTTAAATTCGGAAAATTCTTGCGACCATTATTTTCAAAACATTTTGCAATGACTAATTTAACGTGTGGGTTATATGACTATAAAAAAGTGAAGTTATTCGAGACCTGAGTGCTGAGGACATTGCACATACGAGCGAAAAAGTGCATAGCAGGGGAAGGAGAATATTCCATGAGGGTAATCAAATAGGGGATAGTCAGATGGGATGAACATGTAGCACATGCACAGAAGGCGGAAAATTAATACAAACTTTTAGTAAAAATATTAAAGTGGACCTCAGGGAAATAGTGTGTGAGGATGAGACTCTATTCAGCTAAGTCAGGATTAAATCCAGCGGCACATTCTTGTAAACACGTCAACAACCATTCGGGTTGCCAAGATAAGCGATTATCGGTTCTTAGGGATGCTTCTCCATTAAACTGATTAACTATTGTCTTCCGGTTTGAATATTAGATAAAATCTAATATAACTGATATAAGAATTGGACAGATTAAAATTATTACAGCCATGTAATAACCTTTAACGAACGAAGCTCGACTCTCTTCGTGTGAACGATTTGGAGGTTCTCTGACCGTGGAATGTTTTGATACTTTTATGTGGTTTCGTTAGATCTTTGTATACTGTATCTTCCCACTTTCATCTCTTGTTCCCTTCCTCGATAATATTCAGGGAGGGGCTGTTCCCCCATGTGGCATCTTATAACACGCCATGTTTTCACCATTGTGTTACAAGAACAAATATGGGGACAGACGCGTGGGAGAAGAGGAGGCCCTACAGACGCCAGCCGTCGAGACGGTTAAACGTTTACTCTTGAATGCGTATCATAGTTTCGAGATAAGCAACCAGGTGTAAAACCCCTGGCTTTTTCCCCCAAGTTAACAGGACGCACCCTATATAACTACGAGACCCTCCAGAGCATTACAACAGTGTTTACTAGGTACAGCTTCAAGGAGCTTCACTGATAGAAAGGTAAGCTAAACTGTACAACGGCAGGGTGAAATCATATTATTATCTTAACAGTAATTATTCAATTTATTATAAATGTTTAAAACAAGGTCTTTAGAAAGTAGCTTAACCTAAGAGGGAAGAAACGAACAATTTAGTCTTGCACAACAAAGAAATTCTTGATTCATACATTCGAACTTGTCACCTAGCTTTGTTAAGATGGTAAGAAGAATATTGATGATGACTTTGAGATGTAACTCAGATGAGGGAATAAATCGCACAATTTTGCAACAAACTTCTCGTAGCAACCGCTTGGAAGACCGAAGGGGAAATGGTGTTAGCTTTGGTACTAGCAGTGTTAAAATTTAAGATTCTATTACCAGCATAACTTCAAATGAGGTTACCATTATTTCTGAACATATTTGTGGCAAATAAAGAAGCTAAACTAACATTAGAACTGCACTGTCCTCTTCACTTTAAATTATACAGAAATCTGGAAGCACACGAGTTATGTTCTGGCTTGATGTTCTAGTCTATTTAAAACTATTAATCGGCCTTAATGAACAAAATCAAACAGCAAGCAAAGTGTACTCTTGTATACACGGAACATGATTACTGAAGTTAATCAACCGCAGAAATAATTTAGGAGACACAAAAGATACTCACAAAGTTTTAGTTAGAAAACCTGGAGGGAAGAGAGAACCTAGAATAAGTAGGCATCGATAGGAGTGTTAAATTAAGATCCTAAATAAACAGGGCGTGGACTTGAATTATCTGACTTAGAATAGGGACCAGCGCGACGGGATCTTGTGAAAACGATGATGAACACTCAGGTTCCGTAAGAGGCTGTATTTTATCGAATACCTGAACAACTAGTATTAGCATGCCAATAGAGCCCTGCTCGATGGAGTTAGGTACTTCGAGGTTAAGATTATATGATGATGGCTATCATCAGGGTTGCAACGTCGCGTAGTGTGGTAGACGTTTACCAACGAGTTTGTTGTTGCCTCCACCATCGCCCTGATGGTAGAGGCTGCTAGGGCTTCTGAAATGTTGCTAAACTTCTGCCAAACCACTCGGCGCTACAATCCAGAAGACGGTCATCTTTGCAATCACCGCCGTGAGAATCTCAAATCCTACAAGCTTATATGATGATTATGTCGGTGTGGCTAATGTAATTTTGGCACACTACCCCTACTTTGGATGAAGTCCACACTAAACATATTATGTGTCTCAGTTCTTGTCATCGCACAGCAAAACGCTAGGTAGCACTGTAGTTCATTATTCCTTAAATTTTGTATTTATTGAAACAATTTCTATGTGGTAAATGTACAACGAGATATAAGGAAAAATAGTTTAAAACTGCGGTACGATTACCATCGCAATAACAGTTGCGCTCTTTTATGACTGATGTGATACAATAATTTGTTCTCCGATTACTGTCCCAGATGTGGAGGGCTTGCTTCAGAATAGTGGTAGTTGTGGCTCTGTGCCTCTGTTCGCTAGCCCAGTCTCAGTCCGACATCTTCCCGTTCCCTGATAAAAGGCCAGAAACCAAGAGATACTGCGGCAGCAACCTTGTTGACATATTGCAGTTGGTCTGCAATGGAAAATACTACTCCAACATAAACAACAGCAACAACTACAGCCCACACGTTGGTCGGAAGAAATCAATGCCAGGTAATTTCAGTGACATCCTATCACTGTTACTCATGAATCCCATTCAAGGCAAATCGGTGAGAAACGGAAGTGTCCGTCTAACAAAACGTCTTGCTATGCTACCTCACTATTTTGTTTAATATGCACACACAAAAACGCTCTAACAGACTATATGACCACTAGCTCCTGACAGGACATAAGTACTCGACGTCAGCGTGGCCCTTCTAAAGAAATACATCTTTGAATTTTGATATAACTCATAACATTAGTAGATAGGTTTGTAAAATGCTGTTAATGGTTATACTGTGGAAATCTTGTATATCTCAGATATTTCTTAACACAAATGAAGGCGTATGAAAGTAAGATAGCGTGATGAGTTTTTCGCATCAATTTTTGTTCGGGATACTTTTCTATAGTTTTGCTGTTATAATTGTGATGAGATATTGTAACCTAAAATGCATTTACTCCGAAAGAAATTCGAATGTTGTTTCTCTCTAGACAGTTCTGCTGCCAAATTTTCCTGCTTCCAACCTATCTCATTATTTAGCATATGAAAGAACAAGTTGAGTGTTCTCGAAACTAAGTACAAATTCTTGTCTATCAAAAACGTCATTAGACAATTGACTGAATTCATGACTGACTGACTGACGATATGTTCTCCAGTGGGGTCATACTAATACCAAAAATTGGTCAATCTGTCTATAATATTAATGATGTATATCTTGCTAGTGGCATGGCTACAGTGGAACATGTATGTTAAGGCTTCTTTGTATTTTTCTGCTTAGAAAGACATCCTATCCAAAAATTTCCATCAAACATCTAAATGATTTATTGTTTCAGAGCAAAATAAGAATTTTAACATTATAGATGGCCTAATCCGTGAAAGTTAAACAATGTAATCGGTATCCGCAGTTCAGGCGACAGTCAGACAGACAGACAGACACAAGAAGTTATCTGATACTTCGTTTTTCCGAATCCTGTTTACTCGAATATTAACAATTGTGTTTTCAGAAGCTGACGAGGATTTCTGGCAACAACTTCAACCTGTGGAAGAACAAATGAAGTTTCCATTCCGTTCACGTTCCAGCGTATCTACTTTCGCCCACAGAATATTCAAAAGACACACAGTAGGTGTCGCCTACGAGTGCTGCATCAATAAGGGCTGCACCGTGTACGAACTCAGGAGCTACTGCGCTCCTTAGTTCGCAACAAGAAGAAGGCATATCTGATTGCCAGCAGTCTGTGATTCAACTTCTACGTCACTGATTCTAATTTACGTGTCTGCTTAAAAATATACAACTGTGGCATCGGCCTTTGTCATGTATATTTAAGAATAAAATTTTATTACACCAACAAATCTATTTTTTCCAACTAACAACAGGGATAACTTGTATCAGCAAGATACCCAATCGAAAAATTTTTCAGAAAAAATCATGGAATAGTGTCTTCAAAAAGGCCACAACCGCTCCTTCCTTCCCTTACCAGTTCGTCAATTGAAGATCGGTATAAGAAAAACAAAACGTTATGTGGGCGAGAAGCAAATAATATAAAATATATCATCAGTGGTTACAACGTATGCATCAAATATCAATTTTTAATTCAATTCAGTTTTTACAGTTGCCTGGTAACGAACTCCGATGCTCCAGTCAACAATTCCACGTACAACTATGCGGCTTGTGGTTTGTGGTCTTCTGGTCTATGACACCGTATAGTCCTGTAGGTGGTCTACCACACTACACTGCGTTTCAACCAGGGCTATGGAGTCCGAGTCGGAGTCGAAGTAGGAAGCAATTTTAGGTAGAGCCGGAGTCAGAGTCGATAAAAATGTATCGAATCCGACTCCGACCTCGATATAAAATCTTAAGAACAATTTCTATACCGTGTGAGCCGGCGGCCTCACTCTTAGGAAGATTCAACGACGCGTTGAGCCACGTGGTGTGGGAACAATGCTTTGTAAATTTGGCTCCTGTACCTTAAGAACACAAACTGTCTACAAATCAACCGATTTCTGCAATAACCATTAGACGTATATATAGGTTATAAGTCTAAAAAGTAACCTGATGATTCACGTGGTGGTGATGAAATGTATCATAGTGCCATTTGCCATTTTAGTAGGTTTACATTTATTAATAGATATTGAGCTTTTATGAAGAAGTCGGTGTCGGAGTCGGTGTCTGCGTCGAAGGCGGAGTCGGAGATTTTAGTACCGACTCCGCAGCCCTGGTTTCAACCCAGAATATCATATCATAATTATACGTGTCAAGTCTCATTAGAATTCATTCATCCAAAACGTAATTATTACATGGTACGGACACACTGTGCTAATGGAAACTATGACGTCAACACATTCATATGTTGTTGTGAAGCTCTCTTAAAGATATACATTGCAGATAATATAATCAATCAAATAATTAACTCCACGGCACATCACCTTTGAGAATTGCATCTAAACACTAAATTCATTGCTGTGTTCCCTAAAGGTTTATTACTATCAAAAAATCTGCCCATTTTCCCTTACTCTGCTCAAAAATATGGGACGAAGGAAAACATGCATGAATATGTATTAGTTTAAGAACATCCCTTCAACACAAAAACTTCAGACTAATGTTTTGCAACATGCCTTTACATTAGACCAATAACTTTTATTTTAAAGAGACTTATTTTCAGACCGCTTGGTGTACAGGCAATGAACTGGGCCTTTCAGTTTTGAGGCTTATTGACTTCACGTAGATCTACAAAGGAAAGTGCGAAATTTCAGCTACTTGAAAGCGTCTGAACAAATTCATGGTACAGAATCGTTCTTGAAACATCTTTAATTACCCATCTGGTCGACAAAATTTCCTGCCTTTCTAGACTATGAAGGCTCATAATCGTCTTCACAAAAGCCCAACATATCGCCCTACTGTGATGCAACCGAATCCAGTCCCATCTCATCCTATTTCTCTAAGTCCTTTTTAATATTATCATCCCGCCTATGTTTATGCTTTCCAAGTATACTCCCTTGGTTTTCCGACCGAAACCTTGCAGGGAATTGAAAAACGCATATTACGAAGCAGTCTTTCACTCTAAATATTTAACACCACGAACAAGGCGGTCTACATTTCGAACATGAGATGCTTTCTGAGGTTACTTGATTCTTAACATAAGTTTTCATACAGTGTGCACTAGAAATAAACAAGGTATGAACAAATCACATATCTGCTACTACATTTAATCTTATTATAACACGCATTTAATCATACTTTAAATGTGACAAATCACAGTTCACAGTGTTTCGTATAAAATTATGCAGATAAACATCGATTATATAAAAAAAGTTTTCACATGGAAAAATCCAAAACATTTTGAGAAAAATGTGTATCCCACTCAGCCTAGAATCAAAGGAGATTTACATACGTGCATTTTGTTAAACGTGCGTAATTTCGGAAAATGGCATCATTAAAGTTTATATTTCCACAAGATCTGTGTTTTGTGATACGTATCAATATTTCGTCCACGTCCTTTGAAAACTGTGATTTGTATCTCGTAAATAATCTTTCAGATAATATGTAATTCTCGTACATACCGTTTCCAGCTTTTGTGGTCTCTGCATATAAGCACATTGTGTCTGGACGCAATAGCCTCTCCGCGCGAACATCTTAAAGGAAAGTAAATCAATTATATATTAATTAAAAATATAAAGTTAAATGGGACTACTGATCCAACTGATTGCTTGATTTATATTCGACTCAACTGTAACTACTGATCCAACTGATTGATTGATTTATATTCGACTCAACTGCGCTACTTAAATATAAATTTCAACACCTCTTACAGTCCAAATAAAAACTTAGACTAAACTTAAAACTAATCCAGCTTACTCCTTGGTAATATTATTTCCTTCGTACCAGATATAAGACTGCACGGAAATCGTCACTTAGCAAAGTGACGGACTCGACGGCTGGGATTTGATTCCCGGGTGCAGCATGGGAACATAAATATCAGTCCTCTAACACTGGGTATCGAAACCACAGCCACTTACTTTACTCTTCAGTTAAACACATCCCTCTGCCCCACAGATCAGTTTATAATAAACCAGTTAAGTAAAAATTGCCAATGCATTTGTGATGATAAAGACCGTCGAAGCAGTTCTTACGACAGAACACAACGTAGCAGAAATAGGTTTGGTTTCTATTTCTTCTCCCCTTTCTAGAGTCAGATGGTGTCAGGAGGGGAAAACAAGGTTTCCCAGTGATGCTGTACATGCAGCAAACTCCGACTACTAAAAGGAAACGGGAAATTGACACGTCTATGCATCAATGTAATATGACAATAGCGAAATAGGACAAATGTTCTTTCTTGGTTGATTTAATGGTGCTTTATAAGGGCATAGGTCAAATGTCAGGATCATTATATACGATGAATCGTGAAGGACGAGGAAGGAAATGGTAGTAGCACTTGAAGAGATGAGAAAACCCACAAGTCGTGAAATTCAGCCTCCAGTCCGAGATTCGAACCCTGTACCTAACGAGGCCTAATGGGGAGTACCAAACGAGAGGGCGTACCTTAAAGGAAAATGTTCGCATGTATTTCACAGCAACATGTTCACACTTAAACCGAATTTAGTTGGTTCAGAACAGTCCCTATTGGACCTAAACACGCAAACGATGATGAAATTCCGGAACGTCTTGACCACCTGAAAAAATACTGACAAGGAAAATCCTTGGACTGATGGCTGGTTATGTCTCTTGTGTACAAAGAAGCGAAATAGTTTGGCAGCAACAGAGATTTCAGTTCAAAATAGTCTGTATTTTATGAAATACAATAATTATCGGCATAACACACTTTAGCCTTTGACCAGGGTCTCTCCAGAGGGGATAGCATATTACACGAGGTAGGGAAGAGACAGGCGGTCAGTAGCAAAGTGTAGCTAGCGATTAAACAGTATGTAATGGAAGGGTAAAAACAGAGACAGCGAAAGAGATCACGGAATAGTGGGGCCGCCTCGCGTGCTTGCAAGCTGTTCAAGAAGAGGACGATTCTTTTCACGTAGTCCGTCTGTGGAGTAGGGCAGCTCCAGACGAGACATCCAGCAAGGAGTAAGAGGGTACGGGGTATCTGCCATATAAATTACAGCAATAAAACCAAAACTGGGTTTCGAGTTGGTTGTCGGCTGTGTCGTCTTTAAGGTGGGTCAACTACAACATTACGCATGCATTACTCTGTGTTTCTGTGCATTATTTCCATAGCATACTTTTGCCATGAGATATACGGAAAGGATTGTGGTGATAGTGAAGTGTGAACAGTAGTATATTATGAAGAAACCCGTAAAGTATACTACTGTTAGGTACCCATTCACTTATCAGACATGACTGAAATATTTGCTAGGTCGGAAAAGCGCACCTCGCTGACAGACAAGCGTTTCGTCCAGGTGCTTGAATCAACAAAGTTACCCCAAAATCTAGGGACACTCTCGAAGACAATAGGCTAATAGACCTAATGTAAAGCTGTAGATCATTAGTGGTTGCAACATAAGTCCGAAATATTTGTACTTATACTCATTACGTGTGTAAATGTTATCAAAGCACGACATAAGCCTTCGTTGAGTTGACAGCGCGTATTTTCCAATTTCATTCATAATGAAATCGGATCTACAAACTTCCATAAGTATTTTAATTGCCAGATTAAATGAAAAGCAAACAATATTTATTAATACATATTTTTTCAAATGTATTTAAATGTTCATTTACAGTAGACTAACATTTATGTTTTATAATGAATTTTATAAAAATCACTATATACGTAAGTTATCTTAATTCGTTAATCCGTAGTTTAGCTATTCCATTGACGAACGGAAGGACAAATACAGTTCCGGTGTTGTTACAAAATTCACCTCTAAATATCAGTCTCTATCCCTTTGAAGCCGAAGCTCGTCATTTTATGCTAAAAATCATACAAGACCCATGATTCAAAGCTGCATAGTTACTGATTGTTAAAGTGGTGGTACATATAGTTCCTACTGAGTTTTAAATGGGTCTTCGAATCCTACAATGGAGAGGCTCACATGTAAGTGGATCTAAGAGCGAGGAAGTAGAAGGATGCAGGAGAAAACTACAAAGTGAGAAACACTGAGGATTTGTACTCTTCACCACATACATATAATTATGGAGATTAAGTCAATGGGCATGCAGCACGCAGAATTTATATCAGAATTCAATTCTGGTTGAAAAACGTAAAAGTAAGGGACCACTTGGAAGACCTTGACGTAGACGGGAGGATAATAGTAATATATATCTTAAATAAATGAAGAAGAAATATGTGGAGTGGGTTTATCTGGCTCAAAATAAGATAGTAATATATATCTTAAATAAATGAAGCAGAAATATGTGGAGTGGGTTTATCTGGTTCAAGATAAGGGTGCTTCTTAAGAACATGGTAATGAGATAACAGTTTCCATAAAAGACACGAAATTTCTTAACTAGATGAATGACTATTATCTTCTCAAGAAGGACTGTGTTCCATAGTGTTCGTGTGAAAACCCTAATGCAGAAGGGGAATGGATGTCTGATTCCTTTCGTAGCAACAGACTTGATCTTCAGTCTCACAAGTTCTCTGTTTAGTACGAGTAGTTTACAAAGTCCACATATTCTTCTAATCGTCTAATCAGTCCCAGTCATCGTCTCTACAGAAAGCATCAAATGAAGCAAATGAAACGTATCAGGTGGTTTGGATGTAAACACCAAAATATTACAAGTTGTTTACAAGGCCTAGGGTCAGTTGAGTTTAGATTTTATCAATATCATAAATTCCTATGGCTTCACATTATATCTGCTATTATTACATCACGAATAACTATTATTTTTATTTGTTTATGCCTATTTATTTCTACAGTGGAACACCTCTTTCTTAACGGAATTTTTAAGCCGGTCTTCTTCGAAAGTTCGTAACCCGACAGACCGTCAAGTAAGAAGCTGAAGTTCGTAAGCCTTGGAACTAAACCTGTATCAACCGTAGAGTTCATTTGGTATTTAATACGATTACTGATAATGCATGCACAGACGTGGAAGATGATGATAACTCAATTTTTTCTGGGAGGACTGAGGAAGACTTCGGGTCATCTCCCAAATAAGAGTCAGATGCGTTATTCCTGTATAAATAGTGTTTCCAAAGAGTAGGGACTTATCTCCCAGCTCCGCCACAGTATTAACTATGTGACAGTAGATTCTGTAAGACTCCTAGGCTGGGTGTTTACCCTACTAAACGGCCTCTAAGATCATGTAGTAACACAAAAGCTTAGAAGAACATCCAAGTTCTGAGAGAGAATCAAACCTTTGACCCCCAGTGTGCATGAACCCTTAAGCAGCTTCGACATCGATGTCGTCTTATTAGTTACAGAACATAACAGTAGTTTAACATTTAAGATTGCTAGTCCACATAAAACTAGGTCTACAACTTACCACTTTGTAAAATTATAAAGAAATCTCACAGAGTGGTGATTTTAAACTATTTTACACACGCTGTTTCGCACACATGTTGTAAATAACCAGCATGCTGTAAACAACTTTTTAATAAAGGTGTAATAACCATTTTAACTAAATAATCAGAAATGAGGGAATCATTTATTTGTATACGCCAATCAAAATTAAATAAAAATCATACGATGGAACCAAAGGTAAATGCCGCGAAAAGGATCAGTGCAAGCCTATAAAAACCAGACCATTTTGTCTGGAGAAATAAAACTAGGTGCGAAACAATAGTTTTCCATCGTGGTTTCGCGTCACAAAATTGGGAGCGGTTTTACAAATACGCACTCACCTTCATGACGTCAATTGCCAATGAAATTGTTGAGAGTTACATTCATAAACTAGCAGCTATTTATAAATAAAGGCCTATAGACGAGTTTCAGAATTTAATAACGTTACTTTCAGGTATAGCTTACAACAGGTGTATACGGAATTGGGCTCTCTGATTGCCCTAACGCCGTTGTTTTCCGTGCTGTTCTTTAATGTCAAATAAGTTTCAAATTTAAATGTAGAATTTATTCTAGAAAGGACTCCAACCTGTCATGGAATTTGTAATTGTTGGCAAAACATGAAGATTTGTTCAGATAATTTCGTAAGATGTTTACAACTTTGCTATTGAAACCACATGTGTCTGTTTTAAATGTCTGAAAGCACAGTGCAAACAAAATAGACATAAGTAACTGAAAGGCTATAGACTGTCCTATTTACGTTTCGCACTTACAGTCATCGGTTTACGATGACTTGAGTGTTGTCAGTTCAGAGTATACAATAAAAGTTTATCGTAACTGGTGGAAGGGATACTATAGGTACAACACATCCTAGGTCTACATTGAGTGTTTCTGGGCCTTTTGAAACTCGAGAACCAACAACATTTGAATCAAAGAAAGTCAAAAAATTAAACACTTAAATTAATCATAAACAATATATATTTCTTGCTTGAAAAAAAATACGTAAATCTTCAGTGGTCTTACAATAAAAGTTTATCGTAACTGGTGGAAGGGATACTATAGGTACAACACATCCTAGGTCTACATTGAGTGTTTCTGGGCCTTTTGAAACTCGAGAACCAACAACATTTGAATCAAAGAAAGTCAAAAAATTAAACACTTAAATTAATCATAAACAATATATATTTCTTGCTTGAAAAAATTACGTAAATCTTCAGTGGTCTTGCTGTTTCCTGTCAGCTTTAGTAAATTTGGTCTCTGACAAAATGTTAAGGACTCTTTTTTAAACCCAGTTATTGACATAATTTTATTCAATGGCCCTAAATCTAAATAAAATGTTTTCTTCTTAAGTGACGATAAATTAAGCGTTTCCACAGTTTTCCCATTGTATTTTATTGCATGACATTTTACGGTAATGTTGACTGTATAATAAATTCACTCCTCTACATAGATTGGCCTACACTCACAAGGAAATTAACCAACCTACTTAATATTCGTCATTAGATTCGTAAGATATAGGTCATAGTACATACGAAGGGAACTAAAACTGTAATGGTAATATTGGAATATTCCTGTTGAAAACTGTCAACCCTGTTAATGCCTGAGTATGACATGATGGGTGTGTGGTTCAGTTGCAGACAATTTGTGCCGGGTGGGTCTCGCGTAAAGATTTTTGCTACACTACAGGTTTGCAACAAGGACAAGCAACACTAATGCCCGGTCTTTTAGCTATTTGTTACTTTCTGTTCGTTTGTGGGCGTGATGACCATCCTTGTTTGCATCAACAACGCTGGTTCGGCTGCTTTTAAACATTTCGATCCACTCGTACCCACTACATAGTGGCAAACAGTTTTGTCCATACTTGGCAGTAAATTGTCGATAGACCTCTGCCCTTTTCATTTCTTCAGACTCCAAAAAACATGCTACTGCATGTTGCATGACCTTGGTGCAAACTTCTGGTGGAGTAGCCATCTTTACACCACGCTCGCTCGTCACAAACGGACTACAACTGAACTACACTCGCAGCATGACACATCTGACCTTGAGCTACAGCACGCTACACCTCAATAGTGCTGACAATCATAAACGAAAATATTCCAAAGTTGTCCCTTTTGATCCCCTTCGTACATTAAAAAAATACAAAACTGCGAACCTATTAAATAAAATTCTGATTTTCATTTCGTGATGTTTCGCGTCTGTCAAAGTAACTAATGTCATTTCATGGTAGACGATTCGCAGTGGGTTAAAATATAACGTAAATGCTTCCACCCACTGTCACAAAACTTATACCAAACATCCAACCTTAACCCGCAAGTCTTCTGGAAATTTGTGGGTATTAAAAAGTGTTGATGTACCCACTGTCGCCTTCAATACACAAAGCCCGCCAATGCCACAGTTATGAAATGCTATTAAGGATCTGTTTAACCCGACAAGTACTTTGCTTACTTTGGAAAGTACAAGTGAACATGTGATCTACATCCTACAGTTGTTTACAGCTAAAATCTATAAATCTATAAACCTATTATAAACCTACCTATTATTCTGTAAGTTAGTTGGACAACACACTCACTTGCCAAATCGAAAACTGAACAAAGAAATATTGTACAAGTTGGTATGAAAACATACGTCATTTTACTTAAACTGTTCTATGACACGCCACGTATCAGAGAAAACTTAATTTGAATTACATTAACTGCTGAAGTAATGAAGTAAGGAAAATAACCTCGTTTCAACGCCACGCACTTCTACCACTACTCATTTGTCAGTACCAATACGCCACAATTAACTGCTAAGAAATCAAGTTCCTGGAGCAAAACAGCATAGCACAATTAGGTGCAACGCAAGTTTGCAAAACTGCCGCTAATGTCGCTAAAAGTCAGGTTTAGACAAAACACGAAATGCCAACATCCCAGCATATAGCACGTGTGATTAATGCGTAGGATGTATAAACGCAACTGTGACATTCAGCAGGTTCGAACTGGTTGTTAATTTAATATATTGCTCAACCAGTCTATAAAACACGCTTAAAACAGTAATAAAATTTTAATAACTGCATGCATTACTACTTAAAATCTCGCACTTTTACGTTCTTATTTATTATAAAAGATTGGTATTTGTACCTTCTTCCTTAAACGCGATTATAACTACATTAAATGTGAAGAGAACAGGCCTGACTTCAACGCTTAACACTTTTTTAGTGTTCTTAATTGTTTATTTATAAATAATATTCATACATAATTTGTAGGAATGTATATAATCTACCTTCATAAAACATATTATAGTTATACCTCCACAGTTTGATTATAAATGTCAGATTTAGATTAAATTAATATTTTTGTAAGACCGCCATGCTGTTGTTTAAAATTCTGCAAAATAAAACTTCGGAAAACTTATATTTTTTAAGATGTTACTATAGTAGTCTACACAGTTTCATGACCCTGCGTTAAGTAAAGGAAGTGTCACTTATAACTCACAAGTTCGTAAGTCCGTCACGTTATTATTACTGACTACAGGAAATTAGAATTACAAGCTTGTAGGGCCCCAGTAATGTAACGTTCATATCAGATTTCATGAAAATAGGTCACTTGATTCGAAAGCATGATGATTTCGTAAGCCACAGTTTTCTTTGAGAAAGGAGTCTAGAACATGGCTAGAAAGCTATACTCTACTGAGTTACAGGTATTTTTCAAATTTGGCCTTCCTTACTTTTCTTCCACATTAATTTGTTGCTGCTACATATCTGCTGTTGCAGTGTTGAAAACACTACAGATATCACCCTGCACAGCGTAAAAGACATGAATCTATGTTTCTTTAAATAATTACCACACAGAAAAATGTTTTGAATAAAATATGCAGATGATACATCGTATTTTTGGTTATATAATTACTGTTTTATAAGACGGTCTGTTCTTTATATGACTGATTTAAAAAGTTTGGCTTCATAAAAAGAACGGCAATACACACCGAAATTAAACTTGCCTGTCAATTGAAAATTTAGTGAGGCCTATGCAATATCCCATCTTATTGCTTTAATCGGAAGTAGCCAGATTAAATTTCTGGTTCAACAGGAAACCATGCTTCAGTTTATATTTATTGTAATGTTTTTGTATGAGTGTGGCCTCTCTGATGACCCAGTGTCCTAAAAAAACAGCATCCATTGTATATCGGGTCATCACAGAGGCCACATAAAAATATTCGATCGTTGCAAACTAAACTAGAGAAACATGAATTGATTTTTTTCTTCAGAATTGTTATATCTCACAAGAGTACAAAAGTGTGTGTCATATAAGTTCCTAAGACTTCGTGTTACTCTCAGTTTGTTAAGTTATTCGCACGAAAATGCGTAACTCTACACATAAAGAGGATGACTTTCCATATATTCGATCTCAAAAACTACTAAAAGACTTCAATTCAATTTTTTTATTTCCGGGCTATACCAAACGTTGTGACCCAAATGTAATTTTGTTTTAAATCGGTCGAACATAACACATAATCTACATAGATATCAAATTTGAATAATTTTTTAAAAAGCCATTGTTCAAAAAATTGTTACACTGTATAAAGCAAACTATACGCTTCACTGAGCTACAGCTTCTATTGAAATATGTTTTCGGTATGATCAGTATTTAAAAAATGAAATAAAAATATATTCAAACTGCGCACTCCTATATGAACAATGGGACATGTCTGGCGGGATTTTGAAAACTCAGTAATGTACCTTGGGAGTCACATAAAAGGCTAGGAATTTCTTGACCAGATGAGTGACTATCAGCTTGTCAGTATAGAGACTATTCGATGGAGTTAATTGGCTATGAAGTACACGTGAGAACTAAGGATTAATAGGAATTAGTTTGTCCGATAGTCTACGAAAGGATTAGCTAGAACTGCTCAAGGGCAAGAAGGTTCCTGAGTACTATAGACTAAATGATGTTGCCTGCCTGTCATATGATTGATAAATTACCTCTCTAAACGATCAATTGGGACAATTCAGGCAAAGAAGTCAGACAAAGCGATATGAGCAAACCTTTGCGTTCTATTGGGTATCAAGACGCTATTATACAGACTTCGGTTAAACGACCCCTCTACTTACAAGAAGCTTTGTAACGTTACATTGTTCTCAATACATTCAACCTAAAGAGTTTTAACTTGCAACTTCACATAGAGAGATTAAAACCAAATCACAAATGTATGTAACGAAAGTTTAAACATAAATAAAAACCTATCCTTGTGCTTAGTACCATACCGTGTAAGTGCACTGAGGGCGTGGAGGTCATGTCCTGGGCGCTGTCCCACTATACGCCAAGTAGACGCTTGGGAGGAGAGGTATATAGCTGCTACTCAATCTTAAACTCAGCATTAGGTAAGGGTGAGTGGTTAGCTTCATGCTCCTGCCGCACTTTAACCCCGGGAAAGTACCCCGGTACCCACTGGACAAGAGGCTGGGTGGGCCCCAGAGGCAGTCTGGACGCAGAGGCTAGAGGAAAAATCCTCTGCACCCGTCGGGGATCGAACCCCGGTTGTCCAATCCGTAGCTAGTCGCTATACTGAGCTATCCCGGCCAGCCAGCAAAGTACACTTGCGGGATAAACTACTTGGTGGGGTGGGGTTAGATTCACAGTAAGGGTACGAATTCTGTTCGCCATCACACACACACCATGTGTGGTCCACGCAGTCTCTATCCAATGGGTATATCCGACTTGAAATAGAATAACAATGTAATCCACAAAAAAGCACTATTTTGGACTCATACTTCTTTCTCCCCGGCCCTCCAGCGGGTACAACCAGCATACTACGGCGTTCATTGTTATGCGTATAAATGTTCGAAAAGCGTTTCATAAGCGACTTCATGTAAGGTAAATAATCGTGATGAATAATGCCAGATATAATTCGGTTCTAATTATTCTGCAAGGCCTGCGACAGTGGTTGTTTCATTGCGCAAATTATCATGTTGGACATACCCATTGAATGATGAATATTTGATACACGATGTTTCGGAAGTTGGCTGTACTCCCCGTCTTCAGATGACTGAATATTATGCAGATTTTTATTGTTAAACACTAACCACTAAACTACCATGGAAGGCCAAGGAAACAAAGAAGTTCCAGGTTTTGATCCCAACTGCTGCCATTGACATCAAAACAAACAATAATTAGCAAATATCACAACCAGTCACTTTAAGACAGGAGCAGAGTCAACATTGCATGCTGGTATATCACACGCTCCTCATACATAATATTCATATTATCATCTGGTAAGTGGCAGCCTGTCCATAAGAGCTGCAGGGCTGCAACACTACCCATAATTTTTCAAAAATTGAAAAATTTATTTTTTGTATAATTTGTAACACTCTAAGATCCACAACTTTATCCGACATTAAATGAAAAAATGTTCCAGATTTAAAGTAATAGACTATTAAAAGTAATAATTTCTCAAAACAAGCTTAACTGCCACTAAATAAGTGTACAGTCAAGTCTCATGTTCTTAAATTAGAAATTGTCTTAGGAAAATAGCTATTAAGGATGTTAATTAACTTATGTGGCTAATGATAAGGATCTACTGATGAATCTTCAAGTTTTGCAAACCCATGGAATCACCATAAACAACTGAATATCTTTCAAATGTTAGGTACTGATACTTGGTTCTCATAACACTTCATAACTAACAGCTGCAGGACATTATTAAATAATCATTTCATGTTACAAATTTTATTTCAGATGTGGAGGCTGTATTTGCGACTGGTGGCCATTGCAGCTCTTTGTCTATGTACCCTTGCCCAAGCTCAATCAGACTTATTCCAGTTAGGAGACAAAAGAAATACAAATAAATATTGTGGCAGAAATCTAGCAAATATGCTTCGATACGTTTGTAATGGAAATTACTACCCAATGTTCAAAAAGGCATCACAAGGTAATAGCATAATAGCAAAATGCTGTTAACCTTAGAAGTGACAGTGCTAATTTCGGTATTAGGAGAAACAGCAACTTCATTCTCATAGAATTTAACTTAAAATACTCAACTGAAGAAAAGTAGTTTCATGTTCATAAAAGACTCAAAGGATGAAAAATATTCAACTGTCACTCCTAAGGTTAAATTACTAGAAACGTCTTTCCTTAAGATAAACCTACACACAATACAGTTAATCATTTGTTTATGTTGAGTTTAATTGTTTGAAAATATTGTGTTCAAAACACAAAACAAAATTGTTTGTATATTAATTTTCACAGATGTGGAAGATGTGAATGACTCTGGTATTTGGATACAGCCTCTACCAATAGAAGAACCCCAATTACAATATCCATTCCATTCAAGATCAAATGCAGCAACCCTTGTTCCTGGCTCACTCAGAAGACATACACGCGGTGTTTATGATGAATGTTGTCGCAAAAGTTGTACCATACAAGAAATGGTAAGCTATTGTGGAAGTCGATAGTCTATGAACAGACAATAAAAGGAAACATCATCTTATTGCTTATAAATAGACTGTGACTTAATAAAGGGAACACTCTGTACATACTGCAACTGGTGTTTAAAATTTCCAAAACAGTGTTTTGTGACTGTTTACAAATAAAACCATTTTAAATGTCTGGTCTTTACATTATTTACTCACTACTAATTTAGAATTAAAGTTATTTTCATCATTTACTCACTATTAATTTGGAATTTAGGGTCCAAATAGTCACTACTAAGTGGGATTATAATTTGCCCTCTCACTACATACAAAAGATAATTATATGCAATCATTTCTTGATTTATTTCAGTTAGATCCTGAAAATCATTAAATATAAAGTGAATTAGTTTACTATAAATTTCACAGTCAACCTGATACTACAAATAGTATAACATTTCATTGCATTCCCACCTCAGAAACAAATATCTACATCACATCAGGTGAGTAGATTCCTGAGTAATGTTACTAGATCACCAACTAAAGTAGACCTGGATTTTTCTTAAAATAAAATGTAATTATTTATTATATGACATCTTTAATAAACTCTTGCATAATGCCTGTAAGTACATGTAGAACTTATGTTAGATTAATCTTCCTTGTGCATCTTAAATAAACTTACCCAATGTATATAATAGCAACAGGACACTTTAACCTCTTAAATGACACATGGATGTACACTACCAACAAGGAATGAATTAGTGTTACTTACCATTAAATCAAGGTTATCAAATCAAAGAACTGGGCACCACAGAACTTTTATATTATTTATAAACATGGTGCTGCATGATCAAAAGTCTTCTAAATACCAAACTTATCACTTTTGCATTAAATTCTATTTTGTTCCCTTGTGACAAAACAGTGATGGAAATGGACTGTTTTATGTATTATACCATAAATGGACTTTTAGACACCGCAGTCACACAGAGGATGGAAGAAACTACGGAGATCTAAGAATAACAGTCCCACACTATGTATTGCAACTGTCTTTATTTATCAGTGTTGGTACACCACACCTTAATAGGTTCTGGTTTCTCAGGTAAGATGGGTCATGGGATCAATTTGTCAGAGAGCAGGGCCACAATTTAAACTCGGGGTAGAAGTCTTCTGGGTTCATCCAGCAGGGGATAAGACATGTACAGGAGCTCAAAAGGTAACAATGAGGTCTATACGACATGGCAGAACATCGGCAGGATGTAAAATATGTTATTCTGGAATGCACTCTTCAACCGCAATGCTGCTTGCTTTATAGAGTTTTGACATTCACTGCCTAGTGACTCTGTTTGAAGTATTAAATAACAGTGTCATGATGGCTGGATGACTGTTTACTCATACATAAGTCACCCATACCCTATGGTATATTGTTTACCTAACCATCTTGGTGTTAATAATCTGCAACTGGACTTACAGTCCAACAGTGAAACTACTCTCTTTATAACTTGACCTTGTATCATAGGGAAAGTTCTATTTACAAATTTATTCTTAGAACAGCTACATTACTGGAGCTGCCTCTGATAACATGAAAGCATTGAAACATAACCTATCTCACAAAGGACAACACAGATTATTTAAAGATGATACAGGAACAACATTCCACTCCAAGAGAAGTACAGACAAGGTAAAAATTTCTGACTGTGTTTCTTTTCAATTTTGTTGTCCAAAACATAAATATAAATTGTGAAAAGAAGCAGGCTCTTGCAAACGTAGTAATGAACATTTTGGTTCCAAAAAAGGCAGAGAATTTCTTGACTAGCCTAGTGACTGTTAACTTCCCAAGGAAGACTCTGAATCATGGGAACTGTTATTCCAAAAAGAATATCAAGTAGTGAAATCTACAAAATGTAATATAAAACTCTGAACACAAAACTAATGGTATGAGCAAATAGTATGACAGAAAAAAATAAAAAGTATTTAAAACTTACAAGCACAGAATAAATTTTCTAAAGTTCATAACATTCTTTTCATGTAACATAAATCACATTGGTTTGCAAGTGACTGCAAATCTCAAAATATAAGTGCTCTACAAAATATTACATGGCACTTTTCTGAAGAAGTTGAGCAAACCTATTCGTTATGAGAAGAGACACATCAATAAAACGGTCTACACAGTTATTCAGGCACGTTTCAGTCCGAGTGTCAATCTTGGTACCAGGCTTATCCATGCATTTCTCCCAGCAAATGTCATTGAATTCATGGATCTGCAAAGAGAGGAAAAACGTGTTCTTATAAACAGTGTTAAAATATACAATTTTTGCATGGCCACATAATATTTTTTTATTATGAATGTATTTTCATTACAATCAGGTGTTATTTATTACACATGCATTAATATACACCATACTGCTATGCTTAGAACACATACTCTGCATTTGCAAAATCCTAGTTTCACATCTTGACTCATAAACCAGCTACATAACTGCTTCTTACATGATAATTACATTTCAACCAACCAAAAAACTAAGAGCAGAGTCTTGACAAGCACACAGCACCATCCACTGCTAGGTTAAACCTTTCATGCATACAAAATGCACAGCTGGAATTGGTAAATGGTGCCTTATAAACTATGACTTCAGATATGCTTATGCTAATGGGACTATCATGGCGGGAAACCTTGACATGTTCAGATTAGCGGCTACTGTTACTGGGAACAACATTCCACTCCAAGAGAAGTACAGACAAGGTAAAAATTTCTGACTGTGTTTCTTTTCAATTTTGTTGTCCAAAACATAAATATAAATTGTGAAAAGAAGCAGGCTCTTGCAAACGTAGTAATGAACATTTTGGTTCCAAAAAAGGCAGAGAATTTCTTGACTAGCCTAGTGACTGTTAACTTCCCAAGGAAGACTCTGAATCATGGGAACTGTTATTCCAAAAAGAATATCAAGTAGTGAAATCTACAAAATGTAATATAAAACTCTGAACACAAAACTAATGGTATGAGCAAATAGTATGACAGAAAAAAATAAAAAGTATTTAAAACTTACAAGCACAGAATAAATTTTCTAAAGTTCATAACATTCTTTTCATGTAACATAAATCACATTGGTTTGCAAGTGACTGCAAATCTCAAAATATAAGTGCTCTACAAAATATTACATGGCACTTTTCTGAAGAAGTTGAGCAAACCTATTCGTTATGAGAAGAGACACATCAATAAAACGGTCTACACAGTTATTCAGGCACGTTTCAGTCCGAGTGTCAATCTTGGTACCAGGCTTATCCATGCATTTCTCCCAGCAAATGTCATTGAATTCATGGATCTGCAAAGAGAGGAAAAACGTGTTCTTATAAACAGTGTTAAAATATACAATTTTTGCATGGCCACATAATATTTTTTTATTATGAATGTATTTTCATTACAATCAGGTGTTATTTATTACACATGCATTAATATACACCATACTGCTATGCTTAGAACACATACTCTGCATTTGCAAAATCCTAGTTTCACATCTTGACTCATAAACCAGCTACATAACTGCTTCTTACATGATAATTACATTTCAACCAACCAAAAAACTAAGAGCAGAGTCTTGACAAGCACACAGCACCATCCACTGCTAGGTTAAACCTTTCATGCATACAAAATGCACAGCTGGAATTGGTAAATGGTGCCTTATAAACTATGACTTCAGATATGCTTATGCTAATGGGACTATCATGGCGGGAAACCTTGACATGTTCAGATTAGCGGCTACTGTTACTGGTGGGAGGATAATCCCATCAGGCAATTTGTCCTTCACAGAAAGAACTTTGGTTGGACAGATGTCTGGGAGATGAACACAGAAGGGTTGGGATCACTTTGGCTGATGACCTCTGTGACTTGAGAGAGAATCATTTTGACTGAGGCCTCCATGGCTTGGGTAGGCAGACCATGCCCCCTTTAGAATTACACTAACAGTTGCCTTACAAGTGAGCAAAAATATGGGAAACCTCAGTCAAGTTAAAGATTGTTTCCTTCGGTCTAAAAACTTTTGCATGCCCCACTCCCCAAAATAACACACTGTCTTGTTGATAACACCAAGATATAGCTGGCATCCATACTAAGGTACCGTTTCTACCACATACATAGTTACTATAACTTCCCACTATATTCCATACCTGCGCATTAAGCTGCGCTTTCTGCTTCTCCATCAACAAAAACTCTTGAAGATCGTAATCCCCTTCTTTTGGAGTTCCTGAAACAATATCGTCAGAAGAATATGGCATATTGTTTTTTATACTTTCAAACATTAAATCACAACTTGATAAGTTGCTTCAGGTCCAACTTTTTGTTGGTAACACAGATGAAAGATGTTGATAGTAACAAAGCACACACATAATACCAACATAGTGTGTTACACCAATCACAGATAATTATAATGAGTATTATAGCTAGCGGTTTAACCAACTGAGACTCTAGCACCGGACTTCTTTCTAGTAGTTCGATCACTGCCGCTGATAGATGTCACACCATACATTGGCATTGCCACGGTGATCATAGATAATAATTTTACACTAATTGGAACATTTGTAATCAAGTTCAAGCCAACTGGGATAAAACAGCACATAAAAATGTTACCAGAACACGTATGGGAAACTGATAGAAGTTTACTTACCTTGTAAGATACAACAGATCTGTCTCCAAGTGTAAACCCATGCTTTGTGTGAATGCACTAATATTATTTCATATCCATAAATTGGTTCCAAATTTGCATGAACGATGTCTTTGGTTGCTTAAACAATTGGATTCAAGCCAACATACAATAAATTTTGCATCCAAAAGGAAGTATTTAGAATAATGGCAGGTGTTAAAAGAAGAATCTCTTGTAAAAATTATTTCGGAATTTTACAATACTTCCGCTTGCAAGCAAATATATACTCTCCTTACTATCATTTGTGGTGGAAAATATAGGCGAAATAAAAGAAATGCAGATGTACACAATTTAAACACAAGATGTAAATAAGACCATATGCCAAATCCTAACCTCACTAAATATCAAAAGGAGTACTATACAGGTATTAAGTTACTCAATAATCTTCCAACTACAATTAAAAGTATTCAAGCCTGCATTAAAAGATTACCTCTTAACTCACTCCTGCGCTGTAGATGATTTTAAGTGTTATGTATATCTATATGTGAAATAAGGTTTTGTACTTGTATTAAATATTCTTCAGTATACCTATATGTAAAATAAGTTCTGTCCTTGTGTTATTACATGTTTTACATCCCTTGGTTTAACCCAAAGAAGGACCTATGGAATGTAAATAAACTCTAACTCTGACAAAACAAATTTCATTAAATTTTGTACTACCAACAAAATGTGTTAATCTAGGTACAGGGTAAGATGATTAAACAATTGAAACAGTATAAATGGTAACATTTCTTGGCTTAAAAATTGACAATAACATATATTGGAAAACATATTCAATATATTATCCCTAAACTAAGCTCAAGCATGCTTTGCTATGAGAACTCATATCACTCGTGAAAACAAAAACTTTAAAATTAGTCTACTTTGCTTACTTCCATTTGATTATGGTATATGGAAATATTTTTAGGTGAAACTTAACAGACAACAAAGAAGTATTTTATATTCAGAAGAAAATCATTAGAATAATGGTGGGCACTAAAAATACAGCCTCATGCAGGGAACTGTTTAAAAAATTTAATATTCTTCCACTAGCTAGTGAATTCTTACTCTCATTATCATTTGTAGTAGGAGGGGGGCTTGATATTGTGATAATCTGGATTAGCAAGCAGTAGTTCTTCTCTATGGTGTCACATTTTTGACATTCTTAGTCACTGATAATTTAGCCCATTTTATCACATAATTCATAGTTTTATTAGTAACCTTCAATGTATCCACAGTACTTATGATAGCTTGTTCCCTCTTCATTGCATTTCTGTTGAATTTGTATTTATATGTTTTTTTAAACCTTACCAGCTATAGTATAACATTTTATTAAACAGGTGTGTCAACAAGGTGGTACAGGACATGGAACAGCATGTTGATACAGTGCAAGTTCTACCTCGTAGTCTTAAAAGTAAATTGTTACTAGTTGCCAGTAAGAGAGGCAAACTTACTGTTAAAGGTTTGCATTGCTTGGTCCATCCAGATGTGAAGATACTTAATTTGAGTGAATGCAATGCATGTGATGACTTCATACATGCAATACATAAATGCACACATCTGAAGAAACTTTATCTGAATCCAGGAATGAAACAAAGAGACATCAGTACAGCAGGTATAGAGATTCAGTTATTATTCTCTTTACAGATGTATTGGTGGTAGGTAGGAAGATGAAGATGGCTGTCTCTGTTCTCTTTCACCATTACCATTGTGAGAACCTTTTTGTCACTAAATATGAAATTAACTGTCTCCCTGGATGTTTCTCTGTGTAGTCTGGTAGAAATTGACCAGTGCTTACTGCCAGGACAATCACCCTGATGATGGAGGCAGTAAGCACCTACCTCTGAAATATTGGTCAGTTTCTATGAGACTACATGGTGCAACATCCCAGAATGCACTCATCTTCAAGGAAATAGAGAAATAAGCAAATTTTTATGATTGATGAATGAATAACTTGAGCACTAGAAGTAACAGTACTGGAACAAGATGTCAAAAAAATCAAATAAATTATAAGTCATTTGTTTTCATTCATATTTATAGAGGCTTATAAACCACTTCAAGCATATTCCTTGGAAGTTATAAAATCAATATTAACCAACTGAATAGACTAAAAATGTATTATTTTTAAGTATTCAGTAGTAAATGAATGTTGTTTTCCTTTCTAGTTCTGTTGGATCTCTTTCCAAGCATTCCATACTTATCAGGTTTATATCTGCGTCAGTGTCCGACTGTGACAGATGAAGTGATGGCTTCCATTGCCAACAGTTGTCCCTTGCTCACTGAGCTTGATATTGGTGGTTGCTCAGCAGTCACTGATACATCCCTCAAATTGTTAAAGAAACTTCAGTACCTTACTTCATTAAACATATCACATTCACAGGTAAATATACTTATGAAGTCTGAAATTTGTTTTAGGATTATTAACTTAGTAAAACTGATCTGTTTTATTATACACTAAATGCAATGTGTTGGCAGACATTATTACATTTCAATTGACCGATTTGTGTCACACGCCTGATACTACTTATTTGAAGAAAGAAATAAGAGTCTAAAACTTCTGACTAGGTGAATGTTATATGCTTTTAGGTAAGTGATATAGGAATCTCAGCCCTTGTGCAAGGAGAATGTCGAAAATCACTCACAGAACTGCAACTTCAAAACAGTCCAAGGATAACAGAAGTTGCGATTGAGGCCATTGTTCTCCACTGTACTAACATGAAGGTCCTCATCTTTCATGGATGCCCTATTTCAGGTAAGTAAGTTATGAAACTACTAATGTAGGTTTCATCTTTGAACGTCTTTTATCAGTGTGAGATTAATGTAAATTTGTATGATCTCAAGTTTTCACAGTGACTAAATATAATGAATTCTTCTTGGGCTACCAGCTGTGTCTGGTGGTTGAATGGAGAAAACACCAACATTTTGAGAACCAATTTCATTCTTGTCCTCAAGGTACAGAAGTACAAGTATCCTAAAAAGAATTCTTTAATGTAAATTATACCTTACAATTCCTTACAGTATGCAAATAACGTAGTAAGAGGATGGAAAACAAGCCGAGTCATTACATACCAATGAGGTAGTGCCCTAGAAAATATTATATTTTCAGCCACATATTTCCATTCTTGGGTGAAGATACCAGTTATGGGTCGATTCCATTGTTGTGGACAAATTTGTAGTCTCCATCTTGAAGGCAGGGACTAACCTCAAACCTAGTTCCCATATTACTTAGGTAACAGGATTGTATGCATTCCCATAGTTTAATTTCCTAATTTATAGGTTATTTACTGATGATGTATGAACTGCAAGGTTATATAGCATATAATTATTTGAAAGGATCTGAATGTGTTGTGATGTTTTTTCATGTAAAGGTATTATAGGGAATCAATAAGAAATGAAATCAAGTCTACATTTCTTTTAAATCATTTAGCATGTAATTCTGTGAAACTATGTTTAATTTAAATTAAATTAAATTAATAGTACTGGAAATGAAACATGCAGATGGCTAGACATTTTTGTGAACAAATTTATAGATCTGGACTGCATATTATAAGGTATTAATCTTCATTTTATATGTAGTACTTGTATCAGACCTGATTTATATGTGGAATACTAAATTCTCCAGCAATGAATGTATATTATTCCATAAATCTCTTATCTCATTTGCCCATTTCAGATAAGCTCAGACTGCATCCACTTGACTCTGCAACTTACAGTATTGATAAATTCTTCCCATAACATATTTTAGTGCATTTTGTCTATACAAATCTAAGATGAGATAGCTACAACAGCTGAAACACTTGAAATAACCACATAAAACTAATAAATAAAAACATTGTGCAGGAAAAATTTGTAAGAAACGAAGTAATCATTTTATCACAGTTAAAGAACTGTTCTGTATTTGAAAATACATTCAATACCGTTTCCCCTGTTGGAAATTACGCCATCTTATTGAATATTGTATTTGAAAATCTGCAAGTTTCATAATTATTGCATTTCGAGCATGCTAAGGAATTGTGCAAATACATTTGTCTGAAGAGGTTAAACAATATGAAATGCTACCTGTTACTTCTACTTCAGTCTTTCTTTGATTTCTTGTACTCCAGTTTTGCAGTGACATTTACTTTGTTAAATTTCTATTTACAGCTGCATCTAGGGTTGCATTAGGAACACTTTTTGCCAAGTCACAATTAAAACAGCTAACATGGACCATATACTAAACGGAAAGAAAAGAAAAATATGTTCTTATTCATTATTTACTTGTTTACATGTTACATAACTATGTATTCACTGATATTGTAAATAAATTTTTCTACTTGATTTTCATTTTTATTCTAATGTAGTATACAATCTTACAAATAAAGCATAATCTTTCAATTGTTTAGTATAAATTAACAGATTCATATATTAACAAACTAGGAATGCATATTCCATAATATTGAAGATATATAATGCGGCACATTTCAAGCACGTTTTGCAGCAGGTGGAGTCTGCTTCAGCTGCAGAATTATGGACCGCATCCGAGACACATCCTTGCTAGTCTTACTCGATTTGGGATTAAAATCACACAATTTAGCAATTCGTTCCCACTCTGTACCAGGCTCAATTTCATCTGATTCGGCCACAAACTGCTTTTCAGCATTTCTGTAGGACAGAAGAACAGACACTAAAAAGAGGCCCACATAATAACACCTATTGACAAGCAGCTTCCCACTATTTTAGATACTGCAAAGTCTACACCTGTTGTTAGCTTTGCTATGTACAATTGTCTGTCCTTATGTAATAACTCTTATCTTAAATGAATAACTTTTAACACAATCAGGTACATGCATTTAGCTCTTCATATAAAATGGTATCAAAGAGCAAGTTCTGGGACTCTTATTTTATTTTTAATATATGCATACAAGATTTCAGTTGCAAGACTAGAAGGCACATGATCACTTGGAAGACCTACATATAGATGGGACTCGACTTAACATTTTGAACAGTTAGCAAATCACTACT